ATGTAACTAGGGTATGGCCAACGTGGCCCCCGCCATAGGCGCCGATTTAATAAAGGCACCAACGAGAAGGTTGCGGAATAATATGTACTGTATTCGAAATTAATAACACAAAAACATTTTTATATGTATATATATACAGGGTGTATGAGAATGACGTTTTAAAAATTCGGGGGATTGTAGAAGATAAAATTTTGAACGTTTTGATATAAGGAACCTATAGCCGGAAATTTGAACTAAAGTGTCTACAGCGGTAGGAAGTGCTTGACCGCCCTTCACTTTGGTAGCTACCCTTCTGTCCATTGACGTCATGTTATTGCTGCGGATGGAAGACTGTAAGCACACAACTACAGTGGTCGAACTGAACCTGTGTACAGGACGTTGTGTACTTAGTGCTTGTCGTTCTTCAGGTCACCCCTTGCATCCACTGGCGTTGTGCTGTAAACACAGAGCTAGTCAACGTGAGTTAGTGTACAGTTGTCTGCTTATCGTGCTTCACGTACTGTGGATACGTTCTGGCGTCTTGGAGGGTAACTACACATTTGGAGAACTTGCTAATATGCATTTGTGTTATGGTGAAGCTCGAGGGAATGCCAGTGCAACATACCGACCGCATAGAACGTGTAAAGTGCTGTAGAAACTTTCTATCACATTTCCGACTATAAGTTCCTTATATCAAAACGTTCAAAATTTCATCCTCTAGTCCCCCAAATTTTTAAAACGTCATTCTGATACAACCTGTATAGTATATAAATGTCACTATAAAATTTTTTTACGATAGCATTTTTTTAAATAAAATTATTGTTTTTTTAATAATAAAAATTAAAAAGGCACCATTTTTATTCTTGGCCATAGGCGTCCAAAATCCTAGTTATGGCTCTGTATGTATATCCGCCACACATTTTATTTCACCAAGTAAGTTTTCGTTGTTTTATTTTTAATTGTAGCCCTTATATCGTGGCTAGCGATTCAGAATGTAACTGATATTAATTTAAAAATACATTTAGAGAAGTTTACGGTTTTTACTGGCTTATCGAACAAACGAATACGAATTGACCCTAGACGATCACTGACGCACAATTTACTGATTGCCCCTGAAAGTCGGCTTCTTACAGAAATACACGCCACTGCAGTGCCGGCCCGAGACAAGTTTTAGGATGGAGCGAGATCCTATTATGGCGCCGGGGGTTGAACTCCGCCCACGCACTCGACCCACGCGCGTCTCAACAGATAAAGCCATTCACATACTGGCCACACACTTGCAATTAAAATATCGAAAAGTGAAAAAAAATATATTTTTTTTAATTTTCTTTACCACTGAGCTGCCCCCTAGGACTTAGCGCCTGGAGCGGCTGCTCCGTTTGCCCTATGGTAGGGCCGGCTCTGCGCCACTGGTCCAAACCCATCTATATAAACTGTGCAGGAAATCATAGAGCATCTTTCACAAGATGTCCAAAATGGACAGCGAAAAAAATCCCGCGCACATCGGAACGAACTGAAGTGCTTTTAATAAAAATAAGAACACACCGTTTTTTTTAAATTTATTTCAGATGGATTATAGCCAAATTTCATTTTATTTATTTTGACGTGTTTTTACATTTAGAATTTGATATATTGTATATAATATAAAGAATAGAATAATTTTATTGAAGAAATGAGTTTCTTGGAGTTTTCAATAATTATAAGATCACTTATGAATAATGGTCAAAAAATTATACTGTATTTTCAAGATTATTTATGAAAACTAATAACCAGAATGCCCTCATTCGTTTACGATTACTTTAAAAACCTTCTGTCGTCGACTGAATCAACTTTTGAAGAAAACTGAGGAATTTACTCCCGTTTCCCAATAATTGCAGCTATTAGGTCTGATGTGTCATTGAATTGCTTTCCATTTACATACTTGTATTTGCTTTCATATTGTTTATATCTGCATAATTATTTATTAATTCCAATCACCGTTCAATATTAATCGTTAGACATGCGCACTGCGCGCTTGCATGTGATATAATATACTATACGATAAGTGCATTATGGTGGATTATAGTTTAAATGATAATATTGATGTTGAGGCTGCGTAAAAATTTTTATTGTGTACATTAAATACAAGTGGTAAATCCTTTCAATATTCCTTCCATAGCTTTTTTTTTTGTGGGCCAAATAAAATATACAGTAAAACCTGTGTAAATTGGAGTTGCATGGTACAGAATATTATTTCCGTTTTGAACAGGTTCTTTTTTAATATCGAAAATCGTTCTGTTCCGAAGAATTTCCGTTTAGGTTGGTTTACTTTTTATTCATATTCCATTTTGGATATGTTTTACTTTAACAGATCTGTCATCGGATAACAGATCCGGATGACAGATAAGGTAAATATTTTAACTTTAACATAACCAGAAGAAAGAAATAAAACTCAGAATCGGACCCTAATTACTGCACAAATATGGATTCCAATTACACATTTTGTGTACAGTTGCAAGTCGGAATATGCGCTGGTAGTGTTTAAAAATTTTCAACATTGTTGCATATCAAATTCGTTGGAAAGGCCTATGTTTGCAAGACGTGAAATAATTGAATGACTTAAAACAAATGATTGCAGTTTGCTTTATTTTTCTTATTTTCTTTCCATTCCCCAACGGGCATATTAGGAAATTCTTGGATCATCCATCGCGATTGAAAACGGTACGATGCAAATCGTTTTATCGCGTAGGGATTATTCAAGTACTGTATTATAATAGCACTTTAGCGGGAAGGAGAAGTCGTTTGACGGAGATTGTTATTGCTAACGATGAGGGAGGGAAGGAGAGTCTTTGGTGAAGTTAAGATTGTACCTGTCGTAATGACGTAAGAACGAAATGACGAAAGAAAAATATTGCCGAAAATAATTTCTGTGTACAGTATTTGCGAATGGTTTAAACTTCTGAACTGATACCATTATTATGGGGAAGGAGTACCTTGAATTTTGATGACTGGAGTTAACGAGGAAGGATGAAAAACGGGCAAATTTTAGTTGATGTAATACTTGAACGGTCCCGTATACTCGCCTTACTTTGACAACAGCCATGCTGTAAGTGAATAAAAATTGGTATATTTTGTTACACCGTCTTGATTAGTGGCTGAAACAGTCGTGCTAGTGACTCATTGATGCACAGTCGCCAGGTGCTACCGAGCACGTGATGATTCACTGTCTGCCGCCACTATATAATATGTACAGTACCTACAGTACGCAATAAACTTTAAATTGCAATACCTTCGAAATTATTCACTTTATCAAAAATCTAAAAACACATGTTCTTCGATTTTTCGATTCTCTTTTCAATGACACAAACGGAACATTTCTATTTTCAACACTGTATTAAACTATTTACAAAATACGTTTCTAAATTCGAGCTGAGCAGATGTCGAGGCATCAACGAAAATTTGGTTCGAATGAAAGTTTTTAAAAGCATCTGGAAAGCTGCTTTTTTTGCTTGAGCAAACATGGTAGCGGCCGCGTACGAGGAAATGAGTTTTTTTATATAGAATTTGAAAGCTGATTCCAACAGTGGTAAATCATTACCATTTTTTCCCTTTTCATTATCTCAAGAAATTGCGTAAAAAAACCTTTTTCGATACAGTAAAATGCTCAAGCATTGCGAAAACTGCCGAAGAAAATGCAGTCATATTTAAGCGCTGCCAATCCGTTTTTTAAAACAGCACCTACAGTAGAGCTTCGTTTATCCGAATCAATTGGGGACTGGGGTTGTTCGGATAACTTATTTTTCGAATAACCGATTAAGTACGAAAAAATATATTAACCTATCCCATGTTGAAATTTTTCTCCGTTGCGTATCGCTTCGCGTTGAATTTTCGTCGATGTTAAGCCTAACGTAAACTTTTTAAAATAATAATTGTGGCAATTGTATCGTTAAAAATTATTTTTTTATTTTGTACAAACAAAATAAATATATTGAAAAATATAAAAACCAAAAGAAATATACTTTAGAAGTTGATCTAGTATCAAAAACGTTCAATTCAGCACCACACACAGTCCTCAGAAAAACACAACACAAAAGTGCCAGTGCTACCAGCTAAAACACACACACCAACAAAAAAAATATTGGAGTAGCCCAAGATATAGCCAAAGATTGCAGCGCCACAGCACTAGCGGAAATTTAAATTTGCCGACTGGAATTCTTTCGGATAACCGACGTTCTACTGTATTTACGTACGGTGCTGGAACAGGCAGATTTTTAGCTTCCAATTAATACAGCGCAGAAAATAGCAACGTCCCGACAAATCATCTTTCTACAACCATTTGCTGCGGGTTTTTTTTTAACTCTTTCTGCCCTGTGGTCACTAAGAGGGCCTCTTTTTTGCAAGCCCATTATGGGTTCGGCCAGACCCACAATGGAACGGTCGGGTGGTGAGGAATGGGGTTGACATATCCGGACGGACAATCCCCGCGAAAAATTTTAGGGGATTTCTTCAAACCGTCCGGATTCGAACCCGGGTCCTTCAGAGCAGTAGGCTGCCGCCTTGCTGCCGGACAACATCCTATGTACCAAATGCACTTATAAACATTTAAGTAGTCCACCGGAGATCAAGGCGGTTAAGGCCTCAGCCTACCGCTCTGGAGATCCGAAATCAAATCCCAGTATGTCGAAAAATCCCAAGGAATTTTTCGGGGTATTCTGTTGTAAATATATCCGGCTTCCATGTGGTCTAGTGGTTAGGATACGGGTCGAATTTTTCGGGAGTTGGTCCTTCAGGATATGTTGGGCCCCGTCCCTCACTACCCGGCCGCCCTATTGTGGGCCTGGCCGAACCCATAATGAGCTTGCAAAACGAGGCCTTCTTAGTGCCCACAGGGCGGAAAAAGTAAAAAAAAAAAAAGAGTATGGGAAAGGCAAAATAATAATAATAAATTCCCCATTATGGTCTGGTGAAACTTGAGATAACTTTAATTAAAAATGCTTCTTAGTACTTATAGGGCGAAAATAATTAAATTTGAAAACAAAAAAAATGAAGAAATTAAAACTTATTTGATGTGAAAATGACTTATGTAGATGGCGCCTGTGTTGATTAAGAGGAAATTTTAATGGCGACTGTGTACAAGGTGTTGGTGATTGTGGGGTTGCTCTCTTTGATTCATGCTGCCTACTCTGCAGCTCAGCGTGAGTATTTTATGAAAATTTGGAAATATTTTATTCTTATAAGCCATAATTTTGTCAGTTTTAGTGATAAATTATATAAACATTTAAGTAACGAATTAAAATGTTTAAAAATATATATACAACACAATTTTTGAAAATACATACGGTCAAAACGTTTTTTTGCTTCTGTGCATCTAAAATTAAAAGATATTTATGTTATTTATCAATGCTATGTCATCCTGTTTTACATGTAATGGTTATATAATATGCTGAAAATATATGCTTCTCATATGCTTTCGTTTTACTATCAATTTGTATTTAAATGGATAAAAGTTTACTTATTGATTTTCAGTGTCAATTGTTTTAATAATTGATTCAATATTAATTTGATCAATCAAGTAACGAACACCTTATTCTTTGCCAAGGGAGTTTATTAAAAACTAACATTTTCGATCTACTCCATAGATCATCCTCAGGTTGAAACATTCGAATTTGGAATAACAAAAATAGAACGCCAAATTCAAAGAGATAAAAACCGACAACGTAGCAACTAATTAAAATAAAAATTAAAGCGTAAAAATACATAAATGTAAAAATAAATAACATACAACTACTAAATAATATTATAAGCCACTATTTGTTAACCAATAAAAATCATTAACGTTCCCATATCGCGATTGCGGATATGGAGCAATTCAAGAACTACTTGTAAGTTTTTTAACGGCGTACTTCCATGCTGAGGGTAGGCCCTCCGCAACTCTGGCGTTTATGCATTTTTCATCTAACTTGCTCCTATATATTTCCATCTTTTAGGCAGTTTTCGCTATAGTTGGGGAGTGCACTTCTCTGATGATTTCCGCATCCTCCCACCTAACTACGGATCCTTCGGCCTGAGCCATCTGGGCCAGAACTGTTGTGTTAGATCTTTTTCTAATATCGTATTTATGCTCTTTGACCCTTATTCCTAGGTTTCTCGTTGTAACTCCTATGTACTCCTTTTCTATTCCTAACTGCTGGTTCACGTACAGGATCCTATACACTCCTGCTTTATCCTCATTCTTAATATCCCCTTTATCATTTCTTAGGATCTTGTACAGATTCGGAGCTCGTTTTACGATCAACGTTGATCCTTTATTGTCCGCAATCTCCTTCATGACGGTTCTTACATTTTTGTTGAATGTATACTTTGTGTATTTACTAGGCCCTTGTTTAGAGGCTCTTGTATCGCCTATCTTGAATTTTCTAATAATGCCAGTGATTATGTTTCTTCTGTATCCCAAGGTTTTTGCTATCTGAATAATCCTTTTCATTTCTTTATTTCTGTCCATAATGTTGTCGCAATATAGAAAAGCCCTTCTAACTAAGGCACGAAAAGCTGCTAATTTATAACATTAATAATGTAATAATAAATAAAACACAAAAAATTGTATGTAAGAAGCAATTATAATAAGCATTTACTTAATAGCCTATATATTCAAAACTCAATGATAATGAAATAATTATAAAAGATTATTTTTGTTATGAATGCATTTTTTTTGCCACAACAATTTGCTAATTTGCTGCATACAATTTCTAATTAAAGAGAAGTAATAGGTTATTCAGGGTTTGCACTGCATAGCACCAAAATTGCACTTGACTATATTTTTATTAAAGGGGTGATAAAAATCTTAATCTGATTATTTCAACATTCAGTTTGAAATTGAATCACAAAGCATAATTCAGGAAAAAACAGTAATGTTGAGCTTCTATACAATGGAAGTCCCATGCATCACACACCTAACAATGTCATGATGTCACGTGGCTAGTTCAGATAGGAAAGTAAGAGTGTTGAGGACCAAGGGCAGTTTTCATCAATGTCACTCTGCATTTCCATATTGGGGATTTTTTATCAACTCACGGAAAATTTGGGGAATTTTTGGGGTAACACTTTTTTTATTTTGATCTTTCTTCAGCATACTAAAGCATAAAAATTTTGACATGACAGAACTTGTGAAATAACATTTAAACATTGTGATCAAACATGTTATTTGGAATTATTCATTAAAAATTATTCAAAAATGATTCCTATTTCTAAGTGACTGCTTAACATGTTACTTTTACTTTTCAGTCTCCAAACTGATAAGGCTACCAGCACCTGCATTAATTAGTATGTAAAACTGGTGGCAATAAATAATTTGAAGTGGCAAAAAAAATTTTTAACTGGAGAAATGGTTGGCAACTTTTTAAAAAATTTCCAGAGCCACCCCAGAGTTATCCTATTCTGATATATTCTAATATACAAAATTTGACCTGATGTAATTTTAGAATAAAATATTTGTATTATTAAATTTACATTTATATAGTTATATTTATATAGCCTGTTAAAATGCATATATACATATTAATATTTACTAATAATACTACTTACCGTATATCGTAATAGTACTTAGCGCAGATAAGACAATAGTTGAATCATAAAAAAAAAGCCCCTAAAATTCGGGTCGTCTTATATGACAGATACAAAAAAATTATATTGAAATTTATATAAATTAAAACCATTATAAAAAACGGACAAACCGTAAATATTTACTAGTAGAGTAGGGTATGTCCACAAAATAGAATAGCCCATACAATGTTTTTGTGAATAGTCAAGGTATTTACCCGAATGCTGGAATCAGTGCAAATGTTTGCAACAATTGCAAGGCAGTGCTTCCAGATGCAAGAAAACAAAATTTGTTCATTCGAAAAATTACAAATAGGACATAATTTCGTATACAGTATTATTATCCAGATGATGATTGCTGATCTAAACTAAATTCATAGGCCGTTGATAGTTTGTGGGTCATCTTGTAGGACAGATATATGCTAAAACTATAAAACTTCAATGAAAATTTATACCTCATCTTGTCTGAAAGTCGTCTTACCTGCGCAGATATACGGTATTTAAAATTTTTGAAATTGTTTTAATGATTCTGAAATTTTCAGATAGGTCATATTTGAGGCTTACTGAACAAGAATTCACTCAGTTACCACTAGATGTAAGTTTTTATTTATTTATTTATTTTTAATTTTTATTGATTTTAATTAGATATTTACTATCTATATATATTATTTCATAATTTAATATAACTTTTTTATTTAAAATTTTTATTTTGAAAAAGATAAGATATTAATATTTATTAACCACAACTTAAACTGGTCATATATAGAATAAATAACACAAAATTATATAAGAAACCAATAAAAAAAAAATATATTTTTATGTTACAAATGTTTTCTTTCTTCTTCAATGAAGAAAACATTATATCATCAGACATTCTTGAAAATAAACTAACAGAATTTTAAATCTTTTAAATGAGAATTTAGAATCTTTTAAATGAGTTGAATATATCCAAAATTAAAAAATTTTTTTTTAAATAGACGTGTAAAACCATTATAGTTTTACATCAGCATTCCATAAGCTTGGAGTGCATTGGTTGAACTTATGTAAAACTTTGATGGTTTTGTGCATGTCTATTTTTAATTTTTTTTTTTTTTAATTTTGGGTCTATTTGATTCATTTTAAAAATATGTTCTATTATCAGTTTATATTCGAGAATACCTGATGCTATTTATTGTAGACAAAAGAAAAAGTTCATAGCATAAAATATATATTTTACTGGCTTCTTAGGTGATTTTGCATTATTTATCAGCATTTATTATTAAAAAATAACAAGAAAAAATTACAAATTTTACAATTTAAATAATAATTATAACATTTAATAAACATTTAACACCTTATAACGCTGAGAAATATTTATTAAAACACAAACATTTTCAGCCTAATGGAATAGGCTGAAAATCATCATCAGGTGACAGGCTATCGAACAACTTTGAAAACTGTGTTAAACGGAACTTTCGAACATTACAAATTCAAAATTAAAATGTAAAATAAATTAACCAATCACTATACAAAATAACTATAATAAATAGATTGAATCCATATTAATATAAATAATAAAATAAGGCAATATAAAACTAAAAACAAAAATAAACCTAAAAGATTAAATGCACAAAAGGATTAAATTCATAAAAATATATATATCAAAAAGCATCACATTAAAAAGGCAGATAGGAACTAAGAATTTGTGTGTTTCAACTTTTCTTATACAAAGAACTTCCATGCCGACGCTAAATCATCAGCATCCCTTGCATTGATACAGCCATCCCTTAATTTACTCTTATAAATTCAATTTTTTCATGTTGCAAAGCCAATGATGGGGACCGTAACGTCTTGAGAATAGATGCTTCATTCCATTTAACTATTGAAGCCTCCGCTTGTGCCATACTTGACAAAACTGTGGTACAATGTCCTTTACTAATGTCATATCTGTGTTCTTTAAGCCTAATAGCCAAATCCTGTCTAATGACTCCAATATAGTCCTTCCTAACTCCTAGCTGTTGGTTTTCAAAGGGAATTTTATATACGCCCGCTGTTTCTTCTTTCTTAAGCTTGTCCTTATCGTTTCTAAGAATACTGTATAAATTAGGACCTCTTTTGTAAACAATTTTGGAGCGTTTTCTATCTGAAACTTGCTTCATGATGTCCCTGAAGTTTTTATTATACGTAAATTTGGTGATCTTAAATTGATCTGCTCCGGTTCTTAACTTCTTGCCTCTTTCATAACTTTTTATTAGCCCTTCAATTGTACTTTTGCGTTAACCCAAATTTGAAGCTACTTCCTTAATTCTGTCCATCTCTTTAATCCTGTCCAATACATTGGAGCAATAAGTAAACGCTCTCCTAATGAGTGCACGAAATGCTGACATTTATTCATGCGGGTCATTCGAATTAGCTGGTATGTAGAGAGGATTGTGCGTAGGTTTTATGTAAATGCTCGTTGTTATGTAATCTCCTTTTAATTGTATGTCTATATCTAGAAAATGTATTCTTCTGCTCTAGTTTCAATTTCAAACCATATGTGTTGTTAATAACCTGCATAAACTCGTGTATTATTTTGCCATTTCTCCATATAATGCACACATCGTCCACATAACTTTTGTAAAATACAATATCTTTTTTGAAGCTATTAACAACTTGCTTTTCTATGTTGCGTAAAACCAGTTTGCATAACAACCCTGACAATGGGCTTCCCATAGGTACACCTTTCTTCTGTCTGTATACCTGCTTATCATAGCTGAAGAAGGACTCATAACATATCAACTTGGCTAATTCCTTCAAATCATTCTCAAATGCACCAACTTCCGGTTTTATGCGGAGCATAAATTCAATTAAAGCTTCGTAACAGGATTTTATCCTTACCGATGGATACAAGCTTTCAAAATCCATAATGGACCCAACTGCATCCATTAAAATTAACTCTTGTAACTCCTTAACGATATTGGTCGGGTTATGTGCAACAAGATCACTGTTACATAATAGATCTGAAATGAATCTATGTAAACATTTTTCCAAAATGTACGTGAGCCCTCTGCATTTCTCCGCCACTGGTCTGACCATTTTGCCTTCCTTATGTATTTTTGCAAAGGCAAATATTCTTGGAATTGCTGGGTTTGGGTTATGAGATCATTTAAGAAAAGTTAATGCATAACTTAATGGAGCGTAAAGGTGGCGTAAGGTTATTGAACAGAAGGGTGAATACATTGTGGATTAAACATTTTTATTTATTTCAAACTATTATATTTTATTTCTTTCTAAAAACCAAACGAACTTTTGGTTCAACCCAATATAACTTGTAAACAATTTTAGCAAAAACATTTTAGATTATTGAATAAACATCTGTGAATAAATAGCTTATTATTTTTAATGTATTTTATATTCTTACATAGTAAATAAAATTAAAATAATTTAAATTTATTTCAGATTATTGTTCAGAGTGTAATTGGACTGATTGCAACAATGTATGGGGTATTATATGTTGCAGGTGACTTCAAAGAAATACGAGCGACAGTAGAATTAGAAAACAAGTAATTATTATTATTATTATTATTATATATATATAATAAAATATATACAAAATAATATACAAAATAAAAAACATATATA